TAGTAGTGGTTAGGCGTTGTAGCATGTTAAACTGGTTAGATGCTGTCAGCGTGTAACCATTTCCGAGGAGAATCTCTGCTAGTACTGGCTAGTACTAGCTAATCGCGCGAAAACAGGACACGATATGGAAGCGACTAGTCATCTGCGTGCGAGACATGAGAACTCTTCAAATGTGTTTGAACCTACCTCACACCCAAAACAGGTTTGGCTGTATGGAATAAAGCTTATGTTCGGAACCCTTCACGTAGGGTAAATTATTTAACAGGACCTAGAGTTGATCCTAGGATAACAAGCTTAAATAGTGGCACAGCACTTCATGTTGCTGAGCAATCAGGATGTCTGCGGGCTACTGTATCTAGTTCTACGTAGCATCATGATATTGAAGCGTAAGATAATAGCAGCTTAGCGCGTCCTGCTCTTTGTTTACAGTCAACGGATGGACGGTCGTATACTGGTCCAAATAGTCATAGCAACATTGATAGTGTTAGTGAAAGTGGCAGCAGTGGTAGCTTAGCTTTAAAGTCTGCATGCCAACTATCTCGCAACTCGTCATTAACTGTGAATGGTCGGAACATCATTGTGGACAACAATAACGTCAAGGTGGAAGTGAAACCTGACGTATCTATTATTAGTGTAGTTGATGTGAATAACAAACGTGATGGTAACGAGAGTGGAATCACTATAGGTAGTGCTATTTCTTCCGTTGATGTTGCTAATGTAGCTTCTTTGAGTACTTCGGATCAAGATGAAATTGGATATTTGAGCGTGGATAATGTAGGCGTCGGTGTTAATAGCTTTAGCCACAGTGATGGCAATACTGTGAGGGCTAACATTCGGTACCCTAGGTGCAATGAGGAGTCATCTAGGTTTGATGGACATGCTGTTGTGTTGAATATGCAGCATGAAGAATCAAGCATGAAATTGTCCACCTGTCGCACTCCACCATCTTTGACTTGTACTACAAGTATCGGGATGAGCACTACCAACAGTGATAAGATAGACGGGTTTAAGAGCATTCCTAGTAAAGAAAGCAATGTTGATCGAGTAGAGTTGGACTCTGTGCATGAGTCGACTGGATGTCATGAGAAGTGTACTACTGCTTGTATGGTTGCGGCTACTAACGATAATAGCATTGATGATACTCCTGTGAGTGATAGTGATCGAGGGAAGTTGAAAGACACTCATCGTCGTCGAAATGATCGTACGTTACGCTCACATACTGCCACCCAAGCTAAGAAGCATAAGAAACGACATGATGCTACTATTATTAAGAAGCGTAAACTTCGCTCTCTTTCGGATGCTATGACTAGCAGTGGAAATAGTAGTCATCAGAATCTTAGTAGTGACAACGATAGTAAAGAGACAGAAAGTGTGAGCAATATATCTATAGTGACTAGTCGATCGACTTCATCGAATGAGCCTTCTGGTGTTTTGACGTCATCGAGCCCTGCCGCGAATGTTAAGTTGATTGAAGATGCACAAGGTTTTTCAACTGTAACTGTTTCTACTCCGGGTGAATGTCAGTCAAGTGATGATGAGAGGGAAGCGTCTGATGGTATGGATTGCTGCCATGTTTTCGTCTGTGACTACGCTTTCACTGAATGCGGTTCATACGACATAAAAAATGGGTTTTACAGAAACCTCTCAAACCGTCTATAACAAGTTAAGCGATCTGATATAGGAATAATGGCTGATGACTTTAATGCTCAAGTAGGTAGACTGAGTGAAAAGGAAAGACACCTGGATGGATCCTATTATGTCATGGCTCAAAGATCAGATAATGGCCACCGCCTACTACAGCTGTGCTCAGATAATCATCCATTTGTAGCAAACATACTTTAGGCATTAGGAAAAACATCTCTTGACTTGGCGACCTCCAAAGCCGACCCAACGATCAATCAATCAACCAACAGCAACGTAGAACTTCGTACGTACGTACACCAGTTCATGTTGCCTTACCACATTAGCGCGGAGATGTAATTGGGTTCATCGTTGGTTCGATGGACACAATTAGATGACATTACTATCACCCATCGGTAAACAGGCTGCATTGAAAACTGCTGCTCATTCTCGAGCACTTGTTTAGAATCAGACCACGCTCTAGTGTGAGCGCGTATTTACTTGCGGCTTACTGGACGTTGGAAAAATACCGCAAGAAAGCCTCTTAGGATTCTACTTAATGATAGCGTAGCTAAGAATATATCTCAGGAACAACTAGAGAAACAGTTAGATAGCCATGTAGTAAGTGATGCTCACCCTGAGGCAGCTTGGAACGGTATCCAAAAAGCTATGGAAACAGCGGTGATATCTGCTAGTAAGGTAAACCATGAGGTTAGGGAGAAGCCGTGGATCTCAGTAGCATCTACCAAACCAATGGATGCTCGTAAACTCAGCCCGTCTGGCTCTGAGTAAGATGAGGAGCGGAGTCAGCTTAGGCACACTCTGATAAAAAGCCTACACAAAGATCGCAAACAGTGGTGGGTAGCGAAAACGAGACGGATGGAAAAGGCAACGGCGATACGCAACAGTAGACAACTATTCAGACTCATCAAGGAAACCGGTATTAGGAATCCGACTCTAAGTGCGACTATCTCGGAAAAGGATGAACTATTATTCATTGCCAATCCAGGAGATTGGATCGATGGGCAGAACACTTTAGGGATCAGTTAAATTGACCGTCAGCCACACTTTGGTTGCCCACAATCTCCAGTCAACCTGAATGGCGAGTCGCCATAAGTCCTCCGACTCTTATGGAAGTTGAAAAAGCTGTGGGAAATCTAGGGCCAGGGAGAGCAGCGGGTCCCGATAGATTGACCCCTGCGAAACATGGCCAATGGGAGTAGAGGACATTCGTAAGTTGCTTGTGTTCGATAACCGGTGCCTTCGTCCTTTGATCAGCGAACGGATTTCTCGCCTACGCCATCAGTGACGCAGGATGGCAAAAGCCAATCGAGCTTTCTGCATCCGTGCTGAGATTTCGTCAGTCACCAGGCCATCAGCACTGATGACACTCCCAAGATAAGTGAAGCGATCAACACCTCCGACTACTTCATTCCCTATCACTAGTTCAGGTGCCGATGCAACCCAGTCTTGAAGTAACATTCTGCATTTCGAGGATAAGAAACGCATCCCGAACATGCTTGCATTGTTGTTTAGGGTAATATAGTCAGAAGACTGTATTGTCAGTGTCCTCACCAAACAGAACTATGTCATCGGCATATTCTAAGTCAGTAAGTGATTTTCCTGGTAGAAGGTCCGCCCCTGAAAATTCAGACGAGAATAATGTTATACTTAGAAGCAGGTCTATGACCTGACGTAGTGTGAATATCTGGTCTATAGCATCGACGTCCAGATCTGAAACCAGCCTGGTTTTCGAGTCTGCTCTTCACGTGGCTCCAAAGCATTGCTCGTATATCCTGGGACAACCGAGTGATCAATACTGTCGTAAGGAAACGCGTACTGAATTGGCATGGTAAATGAATAAATGAAGTATTGAAAGTTCATTTGAGGTGGTTGGGACCCGTTCCATGTATGCCTGACCACCGGCTGCCTTGACGATCTATGCTTTGTTGTGTAGGAGTAGGTCGGGAGAACGCCTGGGGTGACCGAAGCAAAACATGGCAGTAATCCATGAAATGAATGACAAGTGGACTGAGTCATGTTGACAGATGTAGGCTACCTGGTTGGGGTTCGCGAGAGGTGTGTCACCGATGGTTGGAGACCTTGAAAGACATGGCCCAAACCGTTTGCAATGGCGCAGGTGCATTCATTCATTGTGTTCTCTCAAATTCTAACTTTGTGAATTCGTCATCATCTTCATCTTTCGTTTTCTAAGTTTATCTCACCAAATTATACTTCTCGAATCATATCTTCGAACCCTAATCTCTGCGATTACTGCCAATACTTTATCTACCTTTAACTTAACAATCGCGTCTGTGCTAATTTGGTATGGCGACTTGATTTGATGTGCGTACGTTCGAAGTTCTACGCTGTAACTGACTGACTGTCAACCAACATGAAATTTGGGGTTTTCAATATCAGCATCAAAACATTCCTACTGTGTAGACTGGAAACTCGAAAACCTACAAGAACCATCATCCAGAAGATGCAAGTTTTCACTGACAGTTGCGTACGCAAGATTTTGTGGACCTATTAGTCGAACATTAGCAGCAACCTACTGTGGGAGAGAAAAAAACCAGCTTCCGCTTGCAGAAACTGGGAGGCTATGGAAGTGGATAGGAAAGCACCCAACAATTTGGAATCCTTAAAGTAAAAAGTGAAGATGACTATAGGACACACTGCGCCAAGAACTGGAGGCGGGCATGAAGAAAATGAATAGTGATTGACTAGAATTGGGAAGGAAGGACCGAGAGAGAGTTGGTTGGAGAATGATAGTCAGTGGTCTATACTCCACAATGAGTAACAGATGTAAGTGAGTGGGCAAGCCCCAAGACAGTCAACTCAGGTCTCCTGTCATGTTCCACTATATTATTGAGTTATTAAGACTGTCTGAAGAGTCGACACTCTTATTTCTAGGTGATGTCAAAGTCTGGAGAACAATCAATAGTAAGATTGATTATCTTGACTCTTAAGCTGATTCAAATGAATTAACCAGATGTTTCTAAGGGAAGGATTTGGGATTTGACTGAGACCAGCTGGTGCTTTTCGTTTTAAGGATGATACAATAATATTCACCGAAATAAAGAGTATGCACAGATCATACCTCCCTTGTCCTAAAACCGGGGTCTCAACTATTACTAGTAAAAGGGGTCGGTAAAAATCTTAAGAAGATTTATACCTCTCAGTGGACCTGTCTTTGCAATGCTGCACGAAGAAAGAGTTATTCGCTTGTTATCAGTTGTGTGAGTCTCAAAAGGATGCTTGATACCTGGCAGTTCTTCATTCTAAAAGGATTGTCATTTTAAAAGCCTAGAGGGACAGAGATACTGAATTATACAAAGTGGTGGAAACGGTATTTATCTTAAAACACAGAAGCCAACCTTATTACTTCGCGCCAGAAACGGCACAGCAGCATACTAAGTGAGCACTACATTGTGGCCTAGACCCTGAGAGTACGGGAAGGTCATCAACCAGCTCAAACTTTTCGGGACAGAAGTAGTGAAACGTTCAGTTTTTGGAAACGCCACCCAGGTATGAACGGGATGCCCTTGTTATGAAAGCTATTTCAGAAAAACCTAAAGTGCAAGAATATTAGTAACTGAAGTGAATAAATAACGGTCGGCCGATTGACGTACGTTCAATTTTTAGTGCATATCCACTTCCCAGATAAAAGAGTTCACTGGTTGAACTGGCATCACCTGATTAGGGCAGAGAGCCCTAACCTTTAAGTGCTCGTTGAGAAAAATGTAGGTCTTCTTTTGCTTTACTCCATTGACATTTCTAAAATTTCGTAGTGGCAAATAAATCCTCAAAATAAATACATCTGAAACTTTCCGACATTGATGCTTATAACATTAGTTTCAGTGGACAAAATCCAGTGGAAGACATTCGGCCACGCAGCCATATCAGATAACCACTGGGAACATTGTGTTTCACATACATTGCAACAACCAGTTGATTTGGACCATTAAATTCTCCACATATAGAATATCTTCCAAATGCATCTTCTAACTCCTTCATTCCTGACTTCTGATTTGACTGGTTCCGGAACCTTTGATCGGAAGGATTTTACTGACAAAATATTTGTCACGCCGTGAATTCTCTGTGATATTTTAAGCGGTTGATTTCAGGTCACTGCTCACAACCATCCCTAAAAAATGTATTCTGAGAATTGTGACAGTGAGAGACTACTAATAGTGTGCTGATGTTGTAAGTCAGCGTTAACCACAATTTTATTTGAAGCCTGAAAATTTGGACTATTTAGCCAATTCGTCTAAATATATGTGGGGTGATGACCTACCAGCGTCACCGAGAGGTACCCTCCTAATTTTATATTACTTAAAAATAAGTGTGTTTAACATTTAAATTGTTCCAGTAACACGAAAACAGAGAGTGCAGATTTTAGGGTCGATGACCAAACCTCAATTTTTCTCTTGTTTCCTCTTTCTACCATTTAGTTGTTTGCTACAAAAACCGTGTTACTAATAAGTGATATGATTCGACGTGTTCAAAGAACTGATTCAAAATATTTTCTGATAATTTAACCGCCATACTGGTTTGAAAGATAAGTTGGTGATCGGATACGACCTGCCTGTCCTCTTGTCCTTGAAGTCAGGGTAAAAGATGCTACGCAGTAAAAAATGATTTCACGAGTGTTAAGTAGTGGTACTCTAGTGATATTTTACTATTATAGCTGTGATAACTCCCAGTAATTATATCCCCTCAGTAGACTGTGCTAATGTAGTTTGATAAACATCGCATTTTGGCTGTATCAAACCATCAAGCTATTTGGGAGTTCAAACAGCTGTAATTTCATCACACTGTTGTCGAACTGATGCCATCTAAAAAAGCACAAAAAGCACTGATAGGATGTAAATCTCATGAACCCAGCATCATCAAAGCATCCTTCAAAAGAAAGAAAGAGGGCATTGAAATGAACACCATGCAATGCTACGCACCTACCAATGACTACAGTGACGACGTTTAAGATCAATTCTGCAGTCAGTCGTCGATAAATGCTCATCAAAAGATTTGACGATTCTAATGGGAGACTTAAATGCCAGGGTTGATATGGACAACACTGGATATGAGGACATCATCAGACGACATGGAATGGGAGAAATGAACGAAAACGGTAAGAGATTCGTAAACCTATATCAGGAGGTTCTGGGCAACTAGAAGTACAGTCACAAGGAATGGATCTCTGTTGGTGCTCCTGATTTACTTCAAGAAAGGAGGAACAAGATGGCAGCAATCAACATCAGACGAACAAGAGCAGAGAGAGTCAAGGCACAAGCTGAATACACAGAAGCAGACAAGCAGGTGAAGAGGAGCATCAGAGCTGACAAACGTAAATATGTGGAAGATCTAGCGATGACGGTGGAAAGGGCTGAAAGAGATGGAAACTTGCGACAATTGTACGATACAAGAAAGAAGCTAGTTGGAAGGTATCTTAAACCAGAACGGCTAATGTGAAGCACAAAGGCACAGAGATCAACCAAATTGCAGCACAGCGAAGCCGGAGGGTCGAGCACTTTATGGATCCCTTGAATCGACCAGCTCCACTGAACCCACACAACATCGAATCAGCATCCACGAACCAACCAATCAATGTTGGCCCACCAAAAGTTGAAGAGATTAGTATGGCACTCAGAAAAAGCAAGAGCGGCAAAGCAGCAGGACCAAATAACATTCTGTCAGAGGCAATGAAGGCAGACATGGCAGCGACCGCAAAGATACTGCACATTCTTTTCAACAAGATATGAGAGGGAGAACAAGTATCAAGAGACCGGAAAGAATAACACCTCATCAAAATATCAATATTGGGCGACACGACAGGCTACTCTAATCGGAGCGTCTCAAACCCCCATTGAGTAAAAGAAGACTTGATATGAAGTAGAACCTGTATTCTACAAGCATCCAGAAAGTAAGAGGTCCGAGTTCAGAAGAGAATCAAGATCCCTGAATAGGGATTCAGGTCCGGGTCATAAGACGTTACAGATAATGCGTATTTATACAGTTAGGTCGAATAGGAGACAACACTGAAGTCTGAGACATTGACAGTTAGGACGACCAGTAGGAATTCACTAATAGAATTAGACTTACAAACAATTATCTGAGGATCTTGGATGAATATCCTAACAGTCTTAAAAAGTTTTACATGTCTGGTCAACATCATTGACGAACCAGGTTGATCCGATGAAGATGTGAAGGCTCGGATCGGCAAGGCAAGGGCTGTATTTCTACAATTGAACAACATCTGTAACACCAAACAAATATCAACCAATACCAAAATCAGAATTTTCACTAAAAATGTGAATACAGTTCTACTGTATGGAGCGTAAACTTGGAGAACTACAAAATTCATCATCATGCAGAAGATAAAAGTAATCATTAACAGTTTTTTTCACAAAATACTTCCGATCTGTTGGTCAGACACTATCAGTCACCTACTGTGGGAGAGAACAAACCAGGTTCCGTTGGAGGAGGAAATCAGGAAGAAGCGGTGGAAGTGGATAAAGAGATTTAAATCAACACCATTAGACAGTCACTTTACCTAATGGAGTGGTATATTTGGCTTGAGAGGGATTTTAACCAAAATAAACTGCAGAAAGCTTTCTGAAAATTTAAAACGAATGACGGTTTCTCAGTTGCGAGGCCAGTTACAAGTTATTGTGTCGTGCCTGTGCATGTGAAGGACTATTTAAACAAGAAGAAACACATCTGAAACAACAAGAGTATCTGGTAATGGAGGATGATGTGATAGTAAGTATTGAAAAACAACTGATAGACTCATCTGAGTAGCCTTGCCGACAAGGTTTTCTTTGGGGTCTAGAAGAAATGATAATACCAGGATTATTTGGTCTACTAAAAGTACATTAATTTTTCTTTATCACTCGGCCCGTTTTAGATGTGTAATTCAGCCCATCACGCAAAGCAGATAGCTGATGCAGCTTCCCAAACCGTACACATAAATTATCTAGTCAAGGACTTCTTTGAACTTGTTGACAGGATAAAAATGTTGATGGTGAAGAATAAATACTCGATAGTTTTAGATGTGCCGTTTTCTTATACACACATTCCTTATTTGTAGTGAACTAACGGAGAGACGTATAGAAAATTTAATTCCCGTATTTGCGATGAAAACAGTTATTTCCTAGATGCACGTTGGGTATGCACTCTCAATTCAATAAATACTTCAGATGAGTGCATGGTGTAACCATTGGGTCACCATAAGAACCTCTTCTGAGAGACGTTTTCCTTGCGACATTGGAGAATAAACTGCTGAAAGACCGAATCATCCACCTATAACTTCTTTATCGTTATATATATATATATATATATATATATATATATATATATATATATATATATATATGTATATATATATACAATACTTTTGTCATCAGAAAACAATCAAGAGAACGATTCACTCAACCATCTTTTGCTTTTGGGCCTTAGGAAGAAAAGAATGATAGCATACCATTTCTAGATGCCTTACAAAAAAGATTAGATGGAACACAGTGTGGAATGCAATAATTCTAGGGAAGTTGGGTTGATTCCCAAGGAGATGGACATGCACAGTCACATTTTTTGTTCCCTACATGGCATCCTAGCCTTGTTGTATTATAAAAGTTATGGTACACTTTAGGCCAGAGATGAAAAAATGCCCTAGGTTATTGTTTAGGGAGATTTTTGTATTGTGAGAGTCCTGACACCTGGATCTATTACGGCTTACTGAAGTCCTTAGTAGGAGTAGTAGTGGTTAGGCGTTGTAGCATGTTAAACTGGTTAGATGCTGTCAGCGTGTAACCATTTCCGAGGAGAATCTCTGCTAGTACTGGCTAGTACTAGCTAATCGCGCGAAAACAGGACACGATATGGAAGCGACTAGTCATCTGCGTGCGAGACATGAGAACTCTTCAAATGTGTTTGAACCTACCTCACACCCGGAACTTAAGAGAGTCGTTAATTGTATTAGAAAGTTATATCCTCTTGAAGACCGAACATGTTATTCTGATGGTTTAAAATCCCTTGATGTGTATTCTAGTGAGAAGTCGGTATGTGTAGCAGATAAGCTGGCTTTTTCGAGGATGGAAAAGAAAGAAAAAGGCAAAAAGGGTAGGCATCAAGATGGATCCGAGGCGTGTGATGGTAGAAGCTTCTTAAATGTTCGAAATGCAAGGAACGGTAATTTAGATTCGAGCAAACAGTGGTTAATGAGTACAGTAAATATGAATAAGGACAAAACAGGTTTGGCTGTATGGAATAAAGCTTATGTTCGGAACCCTTCACGTAGGGTAAATTATTTAACAGGACCTAGAGTTGATCCTAGGATAACAAGCTTAAATAGTGGCACAGCACTTCATGTTGCTGAGCAATCAGGATGTCTGCGGGCTACTGTATCTAGTTCTACGTAGCATCATGATATTGAAGCGTAAGATAATAGCAGCTTAGCGCGTCCTGCTCTTTGTTTACAGTCAACGGATGGACGGTCGTATACTGGTCCAAATAGTCATAGCAACATTGATAGTGTTAGTGAAAGTGGCAGCAGTGGTAGCTTA